TGTCCTCCGGACTGCGCTGACGTCTTTTTCCTTTGCCCTTGGGGCTCGGAGATCCCTCCGGACGCGCGCGTTTCTTGCCTTTGCCTTTGCCGGCCGGCGCCTTGACAGGCGGATTTCCGCCGACGCACTTTTCCTTAGACGCGCGGCACTGGTCACACGTCCGGATCTTTCGGAAATCATCAGTAGTCATCCGGATCCGGACAAAACAGAAAAACTCACCCTAGGCGTCCTAGACGCTACTGCCCAGGTGCAGATCTTGCGCCTAAGGACGCACATCTCACACGCAACCTCCGGATCCGCCGGACCGGAGGACTAAAAATTGTTAAACTCCGGAAAAAACGCAAAAAACCTCATCCGACTCACCTCCGACACATTACCCATCCTAGCCTTTGCCAAACGCTCCTGCTCGCGCTCAGCCAACCTCTTCCGAGTCTCCTCGATATCCTTCCGTTTCTGCTCCTCCATCCGTTTCCGTTCCTCTTCCGCCTCCTTGCGTTTGCGTTCCTCTTCCTCCGCCTCTCTCCGAGCGTCCGCCTCAAGCCGCGCAATTTCGGCCGCCATTTCCGCCTGTCTCTCTTCGAGAACCTGCCGGGCGGTCTTCTTGTTGCCGGAAGTGGAGTTAGACATGTTAAAAGCAGTAATAGGAGTTAAAGGGAAAGTTTTAGACGTCTCATGGGCGCCCCGGCCTACTTATATGCTCAGTGCTATTTTTACGAGCTCCGCCCATCATCTCGCATTCATAAAAGTCCGGTCCGGACTTCCGAATCAGAAGCCTCGTGGGCTCGGCCCTAAAGGGGGGATACTGTCATATCCCGCGTTCCGGACCCGGACCTATCACACTCATCATTTCCGGATTTCCGGATCCGGCCGACTTCTATGTATCGTCCGGATCCGACCCGCGTCTAACTTCCGCGCCTTATCCCTTTGGTATTTCCCTTATCAGTTAGTACGCTTTATTTTCCGTTCCTCATTCATCTCCGTCTTCATTTTACTAAGTTCCGATAGACTAGTGATAGTCGTACCATATGTTTTCTTCATAGCTTTACATAGCTTCGCACTGCACTTACTATTCTCCGTTATGTCCTCAGTAGTATATAAACCCCTGTACAATCTCTGTAGTTTCCTCAGTTCGAATATCATATTAGACTCTGCTCATTCTCTCCTCCGTCCGACTTGAGTTTCTCTCTCGTCGACCTCCGCTCGTCTTAGGATCGACTCCTATAGACTTGACACCTCCGCCTCTACCTCTGGTAGTCCTCCGCTGTTTCCTTTCTAGTTCGGACTTCGTCCGGATTAGTCTTATCTCTTGTTTCCGAACGTCCGCCGGAATTCCCGCGCATCGGACATCGGACTCCGGACATCGCCCGACGCCCTCCGGACATCGTCCGGTAACCTTCGGACATCGTTCGACAACCCTCGGAAGTTAGGGGCACGTACTCGGGTAAGGGGCGCAGCGCACGAGCTGAAGCCAAGCCCTTCGGATCCGACCCTTGAGCACGTTCTTAACAGCTCTCCTTCGGCCATTGGTCAGTTTGCCCTTGTGCACCTGGAACAACGAACACTGGTAACCATCAATGTCAGTGTTATCCTCAATATATTCTCAGTTGCTCTTACATTCTTTGAAGTCCGATGACCCCTCGTTCAGTCTGCAGAGCACATGGGTCACCATCTGCCTCCAAGAGGCACGCAAAGTGGAATTATCCACGCAGGCAGGACTCATGGCAACGTACCTTGATGTTGGAGGATACCATACTCACCATCGCAATGCTCAATCGGAGCTAATATTTTTACGGGCAAAGATGTGTCGTGCCCAAGCTGAGGCGGCTGTTTATACACTGGCCCTTGAAAATTCCCCTGCGTCAACCTACTCTGACAGCTGTCATATCCCGCATTCCAGACCAACATCCGACGATGTTCCCACGCCTCATCCGGACCTCCGGACCTCCTGTCCATGTCTCCAGACCCAATCCTCTATCCATCCGGATCCCTGTACTCCTGCATCTGATATCCGGACACCAGATCTGATATCCACATCTCCGGATCTCCGGATCCGACCTATCTGTCATGTCCGAACCCAAACCTTAAATCAGCGCCCATCCCCTTATGGTAATCACCTGTCTCCGGACTTCCGAACATCCGGATCCGACCCACGTCTATCTTCCGGATCCGACCCGCGTCTATCTTCCGTGCCTTATCCCTTTGTATGTTCCTTCTTGAGTTAGACTTCCTCATTGTCCGTACCTCGTTTCATTTCCAGTTTGATTTTTCTATGTCTTCATCTCCGTCTTCATTTACTATTTTCCGATAGACTAGTGTTTGACTTTTCTACATCCTCCGTCCACAGCCTCGCATAGCTTCGGACTGCGCTGACTGACTCTCCGTTAAGTCCTCTGTAGTATATAAACTCTGTAGAATCTTTGTACTTCCTCAGTCTGAATATCATACACATATTAGTCCTTGCACTAGTCTTCACACTAAGTCCTCGTAACAGTTCTATTCCTCCAAACTTAGTAATCATCCATCTCAGGCCTAGGGAGGAATTCCCTAGGCCGGAGCTCCGCTCCTCTGCTCCTCTGCTCCTCCGCTCCTCCGACCCTCCGACCCTCCGATCCACCATTCCTCCAATCCTCCAAGTTTCCGGAAGTTCCTCCGGAACTTTCCCGCGGTCCTCCGGACCTATTCTGCTTCGGACTTTGTCCTTGCAGCCTTTCCTCTGTTTCCTTCTACTCAGGACATGTCCTGAGTAGCCATTATACATATCCCCGTCAGGACGAAACTCCATCGTAATTTCCGGAAGTTCCTCCGGAACTTTCCCGCACTCATCCGGAAGTTTCTCACACTCGTCCGGAAAGTCCTTCCGAAGTTTCCCACGCTCCTCCGGAAGTCCTTCGGACTTCACTGGACTTTCTCTGGACTTCATTCTGAAGTTAAGGGCACATACTCGGGTAAGGGGCACAGCGCACGAGCTGAAGCCAAGCCCCTTGGAATCAGTCCTACCCTTTGTGCATGGTCTTAACACAGCGGTAAGTACAAACTGGTTGCAGTAGTCTCTTTGATCGTTGATGGGCCATTACAGATTCTGATTCATCACCACGCCCAACTCTGCCACAACATCTACCAGAGGAAGTGCGTCGTTACATGGAGCACATGGATGCCGAATCAATCAACTCTCACACTAACACTGACTTATGGTAACCGCGTTGTATTTATTTCAGTCTGTATTTTGGTTTGGTATGAGCGTACATCTAACTACGAAAGATGAGGTGTAGGAATACCTCCATGGCCCAAGAAGGAGCATGGTAAAAGGGTGCGTCGTCATATATTTAACGCTACTGCATAAGCCGTCAGTCACAGTGCTTATCAGGCACAAATATCTTTATATCCCTTTGTGTTTCACCAAAATGTATCACAGACCTTGTATGATTCGTACGAATATCGATCAGGCTCGACTGCACTTATACTATTAGTACAAACAATCCTTTCACGTTTGGACGTTCACAATGAATTACAATATGAGATGTTTGTACAGTACACTTTGTTCTCCTCTTCTCTGTCAAACAGTGTTCGAATGGCGTGCCGATATCGTGCTTTCGACAGCGCGGTGTAAGTTGAAATGAAGATAAGGTCAAGATGTTATCGAAGTCACTCTCATACGTGCTTATCCTTTCTTAGTGATCCGAGACCTCTTATTCTATGTGGATACTCAGGTACCTGACCTTATCTGAGCGTAGATGGCCAAATAAAATATCCATCAGCTCATTCATTACATACGTTTGCATAAGGAGCTTGCGCACTGCTTACATCATGGCATTGTCAAATTTGGAAATCAATGACGATTGTGAAGTGGTACTTCGGGTGCTGCTGGCTGAGTTTAATTTCTCAAAGTCAATCACTATAAATACTACCCCACTTTCGGCATTGTTCGTCTTTCCCCTTTTCTATCACCAGAAACGTATACACGTACAGTATCATTGAATTACGATATGGTTACGATACAACAAGTACAAGTTACGAGACATACAGTTACAAATTTACAATAGCCTGCCTATGCGCAAGTTTGATGAGCGCCAAATTTGTACACTCTACGTAGAGATATGACTTCACTTGCGCTCTGAAGTAATTATGAGTACATCCTGCACCTGTGGTAATGGTGAGATACGATCTATTCTATATGGTTGCTTCAGATCAATATCTGGTGCAAATTGCAGGATGCTGAGCTTCGAAGAAGTCTTGAATGACAACATAGGAACAACGGTGTGTATATTCCTAAACATTGAGGAGACGCTATGCTTATATTTGTACTATGTCCTCCTCAGTTTATCATAACGGCTCCTATATCCGTTACATTACACATCGTATTCGACATTAGGAATATGCTGAGGTAGACGACATCGTTCTGGGCGATAGCCAGCAGCCTCTTCATATTGATTTCTGGTCATACGGTAGGAGTGCAGGCATCAGTAAACATAGGAGGGCGTGCACGACTCAGAATGCACACACCTCCGAGGATAGTATACCTTGGGTATGTAGATTCTACCATAAAATTTCTCGATATTCACTAAATTGAAAAATTAGTTTATCTACCGCATCTGTATGTGTAAATCGACTTACGCATGTAGCCGCAGCTGCTTGTTGCACATTCCGAGACGTACTCCCCCCGGCACACCCCTTCAGGGCGCCGAAATATCGATACTTCCACATATCTTCCACCTGTCGCGCAAAAGCAACACGGGTAGCGAAATATGTGTGCCTCGCGGTATGCCTCGAATAATGAAGGGTGTATTTTCCGCCTGTATCGGTCGGTAGGCCTGTAGATAGTGTACGTGTGAGTAAAGAACCCCTTTTCATGATACAAATTCATTGACCATTGAAATGTTGCCAGTTCCCTCGTCTGCACGTGGTAATGAAGTATGCCATGGCGGCATGTGAGAACCCTCACTAGCATCTCCAAGACCTTTGGATCGACTTCGAATTCTCTGGAATCGAGCATCGAACATTCAGAAGACGGAGAAGACGGTATGGACATATCAGGCTGTGTAGAAAATAACCTGAATAGTGTTTATATAGTTGTGCTTTGACATTATTTCGTCATCGTCATATTAAGCCATTCTGATCGTGCTGGCCGGTCGCCACCAAGAGCGCCAGCCCCATGTCAATCCGCCAGGGATTTAGCTCATAATGGCGCTGGACAGTAATTACACTGGCTGTCTTCGTCCCTGCATTAGCCCTATTACGTTTAATGACAAATCGTAGGTCCCACTTGAATACTATCTTTTGCTGCTGGCTGAACCCTATTCCCTTGTTCCTTTAGCAGATCCATGGTTGGTCCATCGCAGACGCTGTTCAAATGCGCTTGCACGCGCGAGTTTACTCAAGCGGGTTCCTATACCAAGCATCAACATGCGTGCACAAAAGGCAAGAAGCGATTATTCTCTGCTTTATCGAAAGCAAAGAATTTATTTGGTTCTGTAAAACGGTCCCGACTGTCTGCCAACGGCGGAAAACAGGATGTGCGCGCTAGCACGGCATCTTCGAGTACGCAGGTCCGCTGTCCGCCAATCCCCTCATCTTCTTCCGACCAGCCATTTGATGCAGAGGTCTTGCGGACTTCATCAGCCATCACAGTGTCGTGTGCGGGTTCTTTGTTGCAAGCCGATGCACAAATCCCACCATCCAATATTCGACTCGAAACTTCGTTCACGGAAGTAGACAATGGTCTATCATTAGCGCAGCGTAGAAGCCGTCGTGTTGATGTTCCTTTGCCCCTCCGCTTTAGACAATATGAGGATGTGCTCCCTCAGCCTCCTCCTAGCGCCCCTAGACATGTTTCACGTCAATTAGAAACCGGCCCACCCATGCCTGCCAGAGCTTCCTCTTCGGTGAAAGCTGCTCCTTTCCGCACATCAAGGAATATCTTTGGCCTAGTACGCCAATTCTTCTCTTCAACACCGCCGAGTCATGACCTGGAGGAGTCTCTAACGCTTCGAGACATCAGTTCTATCCCCACTCTTACTTTAGAAGCCTCAGAAACTGCTGCAATGCCTCGCGACAATTCCTTTCATCCGTACCCCAACGAATCATCCTTCAAGCTTGGTCATTGGTATTGGAACGGCAGCGCACAAAAATCACATCAGAGCTTCAAGGAGTTGCTCAATATCGTCGGATGTGCAGACTATGATCCAGACGATGTGCGGCATACGCACTGGGACAAGATAGACTCGCAATTAGGTGCGAGTGTCGGCGATGAGGGAGAAGAATGGGAGGATGAAGATGCTGGATGGCATAAAACTCAAGTGACCATCGATGTTCCTTTTGCTCGAACAACAGCTCAGCCAGATATTCGATCTTATGTCTCAGCAGATCTCTACCATCGGTCTCTCGTGTCTGTTATCCGGGAAAAGCTCACAAACGCTCACGACAATGAATATTTTCACTACGAGCCATATCAACTGCGCTGGAGCCCGCCTCATCTTCCACACGAAGTGAATATTCAAGGCGAATTGTACACATCGCCTGCCTTCATAGATGCTCACCGCGAGCTTCAGGAATTACCTGGAGAGATGGGGTGCGAACTTCCCCGTGTGATTGCTGCATTGATGTTCTGGTCAGATGCTACGCAGCTTACCACGTTCGGTAACGCGAAGCTTTGGCCAGTGTATATGTACTTTGGTAACGAATCGAAGTATCGCCGATGTAAACCATCATGTAATCTGGGTAATCATGTAGCTTATTTTCAGAAGGTATGACGATTGTCGTGAATTAGTCTCATGTTCATCCAGACTGATATATTTTACAGCTTCCGGATTCGTTCAAAGATTTTGCGGGGATTTACACTGAAGGGAAAGGAGTCGGCCGCGAATGCACAACTCATTGTCATCGTTAAATGTTTCAAGCACAATGGAAAATTTTACTTGATGACGAGTTCTTAGAAGCGTATGAACACGGGATCATGATTGTGTGTTGTGACGGCGTCAAACACCGGTTTTACCCCCGGATATTCACCTATTCTGCAGACTATCCTGAAAAGCGAGTTGTGAATATTCATCTGTAGACGTCAATACTCACTTAAGCTAGGGTCTTGGTTGCCACTATCCGGCAGCTGGGAGGTTGTCCATGCTCGCGATGTCTTATGCCAACAAACAGGTTTCACTGCCTGGGCATGGCTCGCGACAGGGCACAACGTCGCACTCATGCACGATCGGATACCACGAGGAGTCAGCTTGTGACTGCTGCACGCCGCCAAATCTATGAGAAGCATTACGGCGTAGACAGCACAGTGGTTGAGGCTCTTCTTAAGCCTGAGTCGTGGGTTCCGACCCCTGTGAGCATGATTCTACATTTTTCCTTGCCTATACTAATCGCCCTGAGCAGAACGTTTTGTCGGACCGCCTGGGTCCATTTGGATTCAACATATTTATTGCGCTTGTTGTTGATCTTCTCCACAAGTTTGAGCTTGGAGTATGGCGTATGCTTCTAGTGCATTTGCTTAGAATTCTCACCTCCTTAAATAAGGATTTGGTGCATGAACTTGATAAGAGGCTCGTCGAATAGCTATTTGATGATGACTTGCCAGGCTGATACTCGACTTTAACAGGTATAGACAGGTCCCTCCGTTCGGGCCAGCGACTATCAGACGATTCTCTTCCAATACATCCGATATGTCAAACATGGCCGCCCGAAACTTCGAAGATCTATTACAAGTATGAATTTGGAACTATTCTCATCCGTACTCGTAAATTAATTTTTATCCCAGTGTTCTATCCCGGTTTTTGATGGTCTTATCCCCAATGATGATCATAACAAAATTATTGTTGATCTCCTGTTCATTATGTCACACTGGCACGGACTTGCGAAGCTTCGCATGCATTCCGACTTGACCTTGGAAATTCTTGACCAACAGACGACAGATCTTGGAGCACAGTTTCGTTTATTCAAGGATAAAGTGTGCCCATCATATCAGACACAAGAGCTAGATCGTGAAGTTGGCGCGCGATCCCGCCAGCAGGTCAAGGAAGCAGCTAAACGGGCAGTGACTATAAGGAGAACTCACGAAGGTACCAACGCCAAAGGGAAAGAAAAAGCGAAGGATGTACCCGAACCAAAGCAACTGCGAAGGAAGAAGTCATTCAACTTCAGTACTTACAAGTTTCATGTGCTCGGGGACTACGTCGCCTCCATTCGTCATTTTGGTACGACAGATTCATACAGCACTGAACCAGTAAGTTGCCGCCAACTGTTTGCACTTTTCAACTCAATCTTTCCAGGGCGAATTAGAGCACCGTACGCCGAAAGGCAGATACCGTCGTACTGATCGTAGGGCATTTGTTTGTCAATTGACTCAGATCGAGCGCCGCATCAAACAATGCAAATGACAGCAAGCTCTTCATGTAGACCCTGAAATGGCGAGCGATCCCCAAGTACATCATCACATTGGTCAAAGCGAGAAGCTGTTTGATGAATTTGGCCAATATCTCCGCAAGCATGCAGGAGATCCCGCTGTAAAGGTAAATAATCGTTGTGATTTTTTCAGTCATTCTGAGATGTCAACTTAGGACTTTCTCCCTCAATTGAAAAGACATATTATCCGTCACCTCGGATCGGAAATAGCTGAATCGACCATGCAAATTCCTTCCGAACAGCAAGACTCTATTCTCTTCAAGAGCAACCGCATTTATCATCACAACCTCGCCAGATTCAACTATACCACCTATGATGTTCGAAGGGCTCAAGACGTCATCAATCCCAGGACTCCCCATTGCAACATCATGTTGCTCAAGCACGATTGCATTGATGGTGAGCACGAAGATGTTTATGTTTATGCCAAAGTCATTGGCATACACCACGTTAATGTCGTGCGCTCTGAAAACGTGCATGAATCTCATTGGATAGAATTTCTATTTGTTAGGTGGTACAAATCCGTCCGAAGTCACGCATGGCCCACACGTAGCTTGGGCTGCGTTCGTTTCCGACCTCTGGAAAGCCAAATGGCTTTTGGGTTCATAGACCCCGCAGTTGTTCTGAGGGGATGTCATGTTATACCGGCGTTTTCTCGAGGCCAGCGCAACCCGGGTGAATGCGGAATTTCCCCTCTTGCAGGTGACACGTACGATTGGCGTGAATACTACATTAACAGGTAAACTAATTGAGATGTCATCATTCAATTTTCTCAATATTATTCTACTAGCTTCGTCGATTGCGATGCTATCATGCGCTTTCATTACGGCCTTGGGGTGGGGCACGTATACTCTCATCAGTCAAACTCAACACAAGGAACCCCCTGCCCCATTACACAGATGCCGGAGGAAATAGAAGATCTATATCTGGATAATAGAGAAAGATATCGAGCTCCTGATGATGAAGAGGATGAGCACGTTGGCGCGGAAGAACTTGATTTTTTTGATCAGGGGCTCAATGCCAGTACAGTATCGCTCTCACTGGCACTGGATGATATGTTTCCTATTGACCATACTTTCGACTACGAAAATTAATGTTCTTCAGCCTCGCTAGTAATGTCGTGCTAGATTACCTATCGCGTAACCCATTTCGCTTCCCCTGTCTTCCTGGCTTGTTATATTCGCTTCCCCCTGAATTCCTTAAACGTTGCAACTCGCCATCATCTTGCCCTGGCGTGTCGTAAAACGTTGTCACTTCTTCCTGGCGTGGATGTATTCGATGCAGCTTCTTCCTGGCGTGCTGTGACTCGCCGTCGCTCTTTCTGGATGTGTCGTCCATTTTCGCGCTGCCTCGTTGCAAATGGCTAGCTCGAGCACTAGCTAGACCCTGGGTGGCCATCACCAAGAAGGGCTGGCGTACTGTATTTGAGCTCCGGCACGCCATCAGATGATTAATAGTAGTAGTAGATCCGGGCGGACACACTTAGTAGCACATGTCTGAATACTAAAAGTGTCTCATTCGCTCTTTTTTCGTCCACATCAATATGCAACACTCAAACTCGCTTTTAGCTGTTCCGGCTACTGATGCTCCAATCTATATCTATGTACACAGTGAAAACACGCGCAACCGTGTTCTCCGACTTCTTCCACTCAGGGTAAGTACAATTCGCTGTGGAGCATGATCGCCATCACTGACCCTCCCACAGAATGATGAGGTTGGCTATCCCCGATCAGACATATACGTATACTCAACTTGACCTCTTATTTCAGCCTTTCCATGGCCTCTCCAGTCGATTCTTGTTCATAGGGTATGCTGCCCATGACTATCAGCTCGCACCGATCTATGTGAGGTCAATATGTTTTCAGTTAATTCTAAAATCTCATCGAGTTTATTTACAGTGGCCTGAGGAATATCAGGAATTCTTCGAACCATCGCACAACATCATACGTCACATCGGATTCCTAGCATCTGATAACAACTTCGCAAGATATTCAATATATGAGATCGAGGTGAGAGTTTTATATGATGCCGCTAAGTCTATTCCTCATTGGACAACCATACTAGCCTGATAGCTCTGGATTTCTCGAAGATATTCGCCCACCATTTTGCGGGCCCAGCCCACAAGGTCTTCTATGTCCTATCTGGGTGGTGAGTCCCCTTCCTCGGTGCCATCACATCATCCAACTCATTCAATCGCGACGCATTCACAGCTCGAACGGCTAAATGGAATTGTGTTCAATCCCGCACAATTTCCAAATGGTTTTCTGCCTCCCGTCCCCCCATTCCCGTTGGCTTTCCCGCACAGGGATTGGTATCTTGGGACGCCTTGGATCCATTCATTCAGCAATCGCTCTCGTTCTCTGACATGTTGCTCCCTCTATGCATGGATTTTGACAATGATCGCACTGTTGATCTCACTGTCGCATCCACGGTAGACGACATGTTTGAATCTGATTTGGATGATGACAGCTTCCTCAGTAATGCGATTATTGCTGACGAGGCAAATGTTCCTCACGAAGAACTTCATTGGAGGCTGACACTCAGGGACGATTCTCTCGACTGCCATCAGAAAAAGTTGCTAAAAGTTGCGCTGGTGACGTCGCCTTGGGGGCGCCCAATCAAATTGGCAAGATACCTTTATGTGGGCCATATATTGGTCGGGATGCCCGTCAACCCATTTTCTATGCGTGAACCAGACTGCAGGCGGTTGATAACCACCAGCTTCTTGAGAGCCCTTCATCTTGACCTCAAAACATATGAAGAACTACGCGAAATACCTTGTGGGTGTTAAAGTCTTCAATTACCAATGTCATTAACTTACGATGGGATCAGTAATGGTCGTGAACATCGGCGGCGGCGAGACTCGTGTGTATTGGTCCCAATTGAGAGCTAGGGTAAGCTTGTCCCGTCGCGCACATTTACTTACTACTGAACATCTCGGGCAGTTCCTAGATTACCCCATAGATTTCACTTCCGAGCTGAGGAAAGTTGCAAGGGGTGGAACGACACCAAGCGCTGGATTTGGTAACAATGCGGAGCAGGAGGCCCAGATGAAGCTTCACATCATCGATTTGATGAATTCTGGTGATGAAAGCATGGTAAGAGACCGCACATCGCGCAATCAGATCTTTGATAAATTTTAAATTTCAGATTCAAGAAGCCATTTGCGAGCTTATAGCTACTCAAGGATTTTGTGAAGTCCTGTGGGCCGGCTTATACCGACCCATTGCTGACTTTCCTGAAGGCCAAGCGCGATTGGCAGATCTTTACCCAGAAGCCATCCAAACCTTGACAGGTTATCTAGGAAAAGGTATCGTGGGCGTACTTGTTACTCTCGTAAGTTTCTATCTTTTCATAATTGTTTGTGTAAACGTTGATGATTTCTCGTATCAGATGTATCAGTCATTCATACCAGCTCAGGCGGACAGGACACAGTTGAAAACGCCGGAAATATATCCTTACATCACGGCTGCCCTGGATGTCATGTATGCGAATCCACATCGTTTTGACCCCTTTTTCGATGAGGCCCGGAAGCTCCCTCATATACAGTCAGTGTCTTGACGTATCTTTTGGTCGTGCTCATCGTGACATACCTTCAGGGAGGCAAACATCTTGTCTATTGATCCCAAGACTCGTCGTGCGAGATTAATCTTAGACCCCGTCACGAATTTGAGGCAAATGAAGGTCATGAACGATGTCAGAGATATCGTTGTTGAACCGCTTCATGATGAATTGGTAGTCCCTTATGCACAATTCAGGCTTCCGCATTCGTTCAAGTCTGTGGATATCCCCCATTTTTACTTCACGGTGCTTTCGCCTGTATTGTAGAGGTTCAGGTAAGGACGCAAGTACTGTTACAATTGTATACCGTGATGTACAGGTGGTGTGTATAGAGTACAATTTGCTTCGAGGATATGTGTACTACTTTCGTGCATTAACGAAGCTATATGAGTGAGATTTCTACTAAATCAATGAGTGGTGGGATATAATAATGTGTCGTCAGTCATGACGTGTGCGTTCTCTTGGTATAGCCTCATGATCCCTAGCATGCTTGCCATTAGTCTTTGAACATCGCAAATAAAGAAAACTTACTATCTTCATATACGTCGCCGGTCGTGATGTGTGCATTCTAGTGGTATACAGCCTGATGATTCATCCCTAGCATGCTTGCTGTAAGTCTGAAGATCGCAAATAAAGAAGACTTACCGTCTGCACTGCCGATCTCAATCGTCGCATCACATGAGCGAAGCCGTCCCTCGAAAACCTCATCCATCTCCTGATTGAACTGAATCGCAGCGCTTGTGGGATCATCATGATATTAGCCGCCTCCGGCGCTAAAGTCAGGATATGAGCGAGTGATATGATATAAACGCGCACCTTGTGTTCTGCTTCTAGATATTCTAGATGAGTCTGTTGAGCATTAGCGTTGAGGATAAAGTAAGTAATAGTAGTAGTACTTACACAGGTGTCACGGTCGGTGAACTGGGGTCCATTGATCACGTGTGCCATTGTCTGTCTACTGACGTCAATATCGTTAGTAGATCCAATCGGGCAGGACTCGTACCTTATTTGTCGTAGTTGGTAATTGTAGTCGTTTATGGAGATAATGTGGAATGTGTAATGTTTGTATTTGTTTATACCTCATACTCGTTCACTACTAATCGACCTGCACCTGCTGGATTACATAATTTTCGAACTCTCTCGTTTACCACTACCATCTACCTTACGGTCCTTCGTTTCAATATTCCCTCTGGGCTCATAAAGTGCAAAGGTGTGTTTATCATTCGCTTCATTCGAGATTCACCATAGCACAACACTATTGACAATTTCGCAATAGGAGAACATGGTACATTTAATTACGACTGACCTTGCGCGACCTTATTGCAATCTAGGCAATGTTGGTATCCCAACAGCAATCTGCGACACTGTCTAACAGTGGTATTGGTATCTGGCCAACGCAATTGCCCCGCTACGCTGAAGCGGTATTACTGTGAGTACTTATCATTGGCTATATGGAATATACACTGATTTCTGTATATACTAGTACGGATGATGCATATGAAGATAACCTGGTTCGCAAGAAGGACATCAGTGATCCTCCGTTCGTTATCTTATTCCCGACCGGTGTCAAACTAATCTCTATCAACAGGCCCCCAGTGTACGGAGACTGGCAAGAGTTAGTCCATCCATTGGGTGGTACATATTTCTACAATTCTAGAAAGGCAAGCGCCACATGTACTTTTGAGTTGCTTGCCTCATAGAAATTTAGCACGTGTATACACTGACGAACCTGAGGAACTATTGGAGCCTGCAGACACTCGACGAGTTCGTCAATGCATCACGAGCTGCAGCGAAAGAAGATACGTGGACGTTGGTCGTTCAGCCGACGATTTTTATGGGAGAAGATAGGTTTCAGTATTATTACGTAGTCCCCGGCAGCCGCATCATTACCTGGCTAGAGGACCTGGATGGCTACATTCTCTTCCGAGCTTGTGTCAAGCCAAGCGAATGGAGGCACAAGAGTATGTCGTCCTTTCTTTTCGTTTCATGAGATTGATTAGAAGCATGTAGGGCTTGAATTAGAAGCTCAATATTGGTGAGCGGTCAACATCGGACAGAAATTGAGCTGAACGTCCTTTTGCTATGTAGGAAACACTTCGAGTACTTTCCGCACCAGTTTAGGATCTCTCGATCAGAAGTGAGATGCATAAGAGGAGAAATGGTTTGTTACCTTGGAGGTAAGTTCTGCACTGCTGCAGTGACGCTCAGAACAACAGCAAAAACAGAAGCGATGACCTTGAAACAATCCACTGCGGTGTCCATATTCTGGACTTTAGACGAAATGAATCAGATCGTCGGTCAACTGGCCTATGTTGGTATGTGTCCCTGTCTCGCTGTGGAGCAACTACGATCAGATCAATTGACTTTTCGTTTTTTTAGAAGAAATCGCGGAAAATGATTTGGTCCCGGAAACTGGAGTTGTATCATGTTGTTCGTGAATTTGTGAGGCCGATCATTTCAAATGCTGATCTCGTTTATTAACAGGCAGAGTTATGTATATGCTACGTACGTCGCTCTCTTGTAGAACATACGCTGTCATATTCATGCATGAACATAGGTCATCACCAGTACTTGCACCGTCACAACCAACCTGAGGCTCGCCTAATTCGAACGCATGCAGTAGAAGAGAAGCACACAAAGTTTAAACTTCTGCATTCTATGGGCAACACTACAGCTACGATCCTCTGCATGCCAATCACTATTGCTATTACTTGCATTAAGAGTACCTCCGTCGATGGTATCGTGAATGGGGTGGAAGTTCAGTCGTTCATCAATGATTTCGGCAGTCAGACTAGAAATCAAATTACCCTGGTAAGTCCTATATCAGTGCCGTGAACGAGGACATCCCATTTAGACTGGTCTTACAGGCAGGTATCTCTATGGCCTTGGATGTTGCCATCCTTGCAATTCCATGGTTAGGCACGACAACGACTGCACAGACATTGTGCTCCTGCTCCTTCCTTTTAGGTGTCGGCTGTATTTTTGCGGGCACGATAGTACACCACTTTGGCGAGAGGATGAAATCTTTGGACTTTGCAGTTCGATTTCCTCAACTTTCTGCATCCTGAGCCCGACATTGTCAACTTAACAGGCCCATTATCTGCGAAGGAAGGTGATGATACTTCTGGTCATTACAAGCATACTGACCTGTTTTTGCGTATTGAGGTAAGCATATTTGATTATGATTATGATTGCTCACAGAATTACTGTCAGTGTGACATGTTCTATCCTCGGATTTCTCGCAGGTATCACCATAGACTTTAAGCCGTCCACACCCTTAGTCATTGTGTGCTTTGTCATGCTCGCCGTTGTGGTAGGTTCATTGCTTATATTGGTGGTCGCCAGTTATGGTCCAGGCCCAGCTAGGATAAGGCCGCAATGACATCTTGTCCTGAGACTGTCAGGATGTTTGCACGCATGATCACACATCTCGCATGGGTTGGCGCTCCGAAGTCTAGAGGTTAGCTCTAGTATTTTAAATAGACGATGTCAATTTCTACATTCTAGTCTTAAGGTGCCTACTCATACGTTGTTGGATCCATCAGATCGACATCTTGATGGTAATTTTTACGGCTCAACTTTACGATATCAGCAACCACACTGCTCAGGGCAACTTTTTGTATGCCATCGCAATTGCAGCTGGATCACCATGCTAAGATCTTCTGGTCACAGAACTACTCAACCACTTCGCGTGTTACAGTGTCTTTGGCACTTGCTCTTGGTCCTCAATTTTGTCGTACTCATTTTCTGAGGAATGTAGTCAGTTTATTTCAAGGGAGTCCACGTCGGACATACCTTGAATGGGGGAAGAGGCATTCCATGCGATCTGACGAGGAGAGTATGTGCTAATCCCACTTGGTGTGTATTCCTCCAAGATTCGGACTCGATAACATTCCTCCAACCAGCGAAGTCTGTAGTTTTGATACAACTCTTCAAATTGTGAACAGCGTAAGTCTGCAAGTCACAGTTGTTCTTCGAGTTTGACTATGGAGTCTTTGCCCGTTTCACAGTTGTTCTCCGGCAGAAGAACAGGAGCCTCGTTATGCTCCGCTGAAGATATGTTCTTGTCAACATCCGTCACTCTGAACTAACTTCAGCTTTGGGAATGAGTAATGATGGTGGCCACAGACCTGACGATGATGGATTCCTTAGGCTCGCTTCCCTGATTGGCATTTCCTGCTGCCTCAATTCTAATGTATGGCATTAGTAAGTCCTGCCACAGGTGCATCAACAAAGTTACCAGAGGTTCACGTTAATGATATGTCCAGATAGGTTGAAGGTTTGGCTCTGAGTCAAAAATTGTTGCATATTCTGGTTGAACGCGGACAGGTGGTATTTTCTAGCACTGGTGAAATTATTTACTGAGCTTTTAGTCCCTGCAATCCTTTGCCAGCGCTTTTTTATGGCATCCCCGTTGATAACGAAATTGGTGATAGCCCGCAAGTGGTAGGCCATTGTGGCCCCCGGTCACCACCGCCAGCGCCCAAGCCCCCAATCACCATGGCCAGCCACCCAGCCAGCCATCTTCGCTTTCGCTTGGCCGCCATCAGGTACATTGTACCTAAAATCCCATGTGGTGCATCTGTGATAAAAGCAGGCCTCCAGTACCAGCGAAACCAAAATTTCCTACCTCGTCAGCTCCCATGACTACCGAAAATACCGCTTCCAGCATTCCGAGTAAACGCACTACATCAGCTCTCCAGATGGGCCCCCGTAAAAAGGCGTAAGTGCCCCCTCATGTATGGTATACTTAGATTTTGCAGACTCATCTAGTCACACAGCTCAACATCCGATCCCCTTATCTCCCACGGGCGGCACTTCGGTCGAACAGTATTCGCTCTGTGCAATTTTCCTTCTCTGCTCATCAACGGTATCCTAAGATTAGAGCAACTGGAAGATACTTCACTGGAGGACTTCTCTGCTGAGTGAAAGGACATGTATCTGTATTTGTTTGCTCGCTTATTGATGCGTTTGGCAGTGAGCGACAAGAGCATCGTGTTTTCGAGCACCTCCTAGACTCTTATCCTGGCCTTTTAGAGTGACTACAAACCGGGTCTGAGGAAGAACTCATTCACGTCGGTGAGCTAGTGCGTTTTTTTCTTGTATGCTTAGAATTTATGCTTATGTTCCGTAGATCGGTAAGGGAGCCGCAGGTGCGAGAGGTGACGACACGAAGACATTGAAGTCTGCGGTGCTTGATTGGATTTCTCCAAAAGGAGCAGCAATCCAGCCTCCTTTACATAGAAATTCGAAGATCGACTGTGGATTCAATCATGAGCTTACCAGATCGCTGCTTTGTCCCGCTGGGTTGGACTGGAAAGACTCAGAGTACGTTTCAGTTTACTGGTATCCGTGGTCACTACTCATTTTTCACTTCATCGTATACAGGACGAGAGAGAACCTCCGAAGCGGTGAAACATTGGTATGCGGAGATCAATGGCCCGTATTTTTATACACCAACCATACTTACGATGCTGATGACCCATGGTGTGGTCTTCTTAGGAATCGCATACTTGTATCTGTGAGTAAGCACACCTATTCTGTGCTGTTCTTTACTACATCTTTTTCACTAGGCTTACAAGCACGTTTTCACATCCCCGAGTTCTGTTGATAAAGAACCAAAAGCCACGCGATCCGGAAATGCTCGCCTGCACGGCATGAATGCGGTCACTATCGCTTCCATATCTTATATTGCAACGCAGGTTTGCCTCAACACTTCCGAAGCTGAACTGTCCTGATGCATGACTGAAGGTCCGATTTGCTCTGAGTTCCTCATCAGTGTTTTCACGGACAGATACCACCACAGATTCAGAGACGTTCTACCACAGTCTCCTTGACCTCCTCGAGGACCCTGATGAATCTGAGGAAGTCGACGAGCTGTTGACGTGGTGGAATCGGTATTTTTATCACTCTTCGCCATTTTGCTGAGGCTTATATGTTGTCTTTTCTCCAGCCAAGTATTTCCTACTTCATCTGCCGCCAAGCGACCTATCAGCGCCAACAGCGCCTTAGCAAAGATTCGACTCAAACGCCTTGCAGTCAAACGAGCTGCAGATCTAAACTCGTAGTTTTCATTTGAGCACTTTATGTAGTAGATACAATTTCAATTTCATAGCAATCTGTGCCGTGTGCTCTCGCAACAAAGCTAGATTACAAGCAAACCTACATTTTGCCTCGAATGCGAATCATTTGCTTTGAAGACAACCAACTAAAGACAAGATGATTGAAATTCAGTTATCAAATGATAACTTGTTATCACTCTGTAGCACAATGATCTCCTATGCCAAATTGATCCATGTGAGCAGCCCCTGTGAGACAATACCTGCAGCTAACTTTTTGTTTGCACTTTAAGGCAAATAAAATAATCAGCTGAAATGGAATGTGGTGGTAATACCTCAGCAGCTGGCTGGTGAAAGTTAATGCATTACCATTGCACCACAATCTTGAACCAAAGGTAGCCCAGGTCCCAAACCATCTGGCCTTGGAAGACTATAAAGGATGACAGCATTCTGAGAGTGTTTTTGCAGAATAAAATGACAACCTTACGTTACATACCATGATCATAACTCATCAAAGTTGGGTAGGATGACAGCCCATTGTCATTCATTGCTTACATTGTGTACTTCAGAAATTCAGGCAACATCATCTAGTATCACAATCACTTATCTAATATCAACAATGAGAGAGATCTTGTTATATTTGCAATAGAAAGCACAACTTGCATGTGACAATCATCCCGATACAACATGATACTGCACTACAGTTGCTTTCCATCCTTTTACCCATTGGCAGTGATCGTCCAAAATAGTCCAGCCATATAAACCCTTACCTGATATCAGTACATATCTAGATATTATCAAGGAAGAAAACCCTGTCAGGGGTTATAAGTCATGACCAAGACAGGGCAGAACTGTAGTGGACTGCAAATGTACTGGCATTAATATTCAAATTGGAGACCACAGAGGCTCTCATCAACTTTGCAGCAATTGGCAGTGGTGATCCAAAATAGTCCAGCCATATAAACCCTTACCTGATATCAGTACATATCTAGATATTATCAAGGAAGAAAACCCTGTCAGGGGTTATAATTCATGACCAAGACAGGGCAGAACTGTAGTGGACTGCAAATGTACTGGCATTAATATTCAAATTGGAGACCACAGAGGCTCTCATCAACTTTGCAGCAATTGGCAGTGGTGATCCAAAATAGTCCAGCCATATAAACCCTTACCTGATATCAGTACATATCTAGATATTATCAAGGAAGAAAACCCTGTCAGGAGTTATAAGTCATAACCAAGACAGGGCACAATTGTAGTGGACTGCAAGTGTACTGGCACTAATATTCAAATTGTAGATCACAGAGGCTCTCATCAACTTTGCAGCAGCTGGCAGATGTTACAAAATGTGACATCTTGATGATAAACTGGTAGGTATTTGCAATAAGACTATCATAAATACACATTTGGCCATCTCTATCCCACATAGTCCAGGTATTCAAAGCTTTGTAATATGAAGTACAATTATGATACATATTGTACCTATTGTAGACCAGATAAAGCATTCTATAAGTTTATCATTTTCGTGTCAGTTACCTGATGTTTATTTGTCTTGGTGAGTACTATTAATTTTTACGACTCATTCTTATCTAATATAATTTAAGTTCTTGATCCAAACTATAAGCTTGCGTATGTTGAAGGTCGGTGGGATTTTGAAGATGTTGCAGATGGCAGGGCTCGTCTGGAGGCCGTGGTGAGTACTTGTCTATGTTGTTTTCCCCCTTTCATCTTATTTTTGTAGTTCGATGACTATTATACACCACCGAGTCAAACACCTACCAAAGAGCAATCTGCTCCGCCGACGAGAGCTGTACGCAATCACTATGGTGACAATTGGATGTGCAAGGCTATCAGGACACGTAAAACATCAGACCACCTTACTCACAATCCTTGGCAAGAGCTCAACATGTACTTGTCTTCACCACTAGAGGAGACTGATGACATTGTGGCCTGGTGGGGGGTAAGTTATCTTTTTGACTTGTTTTTTCGCTACTAAATCTACTTAATAGCTTCACTCACTGCAATACCCTACACTCGCGCGCATCATGCGAGACTATCTACCCATTCAAGGCAGCTCCGTTCCTTCTGAACAAGCATTCTCAAGCGGAGGAATCACTTCAACTATCCGATGCAATGCACTCACAACTGACATGTTCACTGCATTACAACTGTTGAAGGGAGCATATAGGAATGGGCACCTTTCTGCAGAAGTAGAGGCTGAGGCGGCTTCATTGGACATGTAACTACAAGTACAAATACCTTGCCTATGTTTTTCTTTTCCTGGCTGTAATTTTTTCGCGTTCAGTTCGCGTTCAGACCGAGAAAAAACTGAACCTGACCGCTGCGAACTGTTCACAAAGGTTCGGTCTAAGGTTCGTTGAAATACCTAGAACCGAACCTTGGTCCAGTTCTTGGTTCTCGTCCAACCACCTCTGAACCAAACGGAACCGGACTGCGGCAGCACTACATATGTCGCATAAAACTTCTTCCAAGGAACATTGTGAGTCCTTTGGCATCTTTGAAGCATACAATAAACAAAGCACGTATTGCACAAATATGAGATACAAGGCTTAACAGCAACGATTTGGAGTTCAACGTTCAATGCTTAATCCGAGATTGAGATAGCATCATGATGTTATTAAAACTCAGCTAAGGCACGTCGAAATCTGATTCTGATCACAGTGATAATGCGCACTCGGTTGCATTAAAATGTGTCGGCATTTTGATGCCGCTAGGGAATTTCCGACACAGTTCTCGCCTTACGATCCTCTGCTTCCCATTTGGCTATAGCAGCAAGCCTATCTGCTGATACAGGGTCTGGGCCCCTAACAGGTTTAGGCTTTGTTCCGTCTATATAGCCTTCGAGCCCTTTGTCACCAAGAATAGCTTGGACTTTCATTTTCCAAGGGATCCAATTGTTCTCGCCAAGATGTTCAATTCGATAGAGCAGTGAAGACCCAGCGGAGGATTGAGCATCAGCCATTTTTATTGAGTTAGTTATAGTTCGTTATTAATCTATTTGCGCACTACCAGGGCTCATAACCTGATGTGAATGTGAATATGAATATGAGCGAGTAGATCGTTCTCGTCGTTATTGATCGCTCTATATTCTTCGGTTCATTCCGACGTGTACACATATTATTCTAAACTCAGATGAGTCCGAAATTCCACTACTTCGTCAAGGCACGGATCATCTCTTCGGTATGTGTGTTGATTGTCGAATCGTATCCGCTATAACAACATGGACGCATCAAGGCTATCCTCAGTGCCAACTCAGACGCGACATCGACAGTAAGCAAGCTGGCTAAATATAATATGTGGTTTTGATGCTCACAGTTTTCAGGTGGAGAGTGTTGCATTTGACATCGACTTCAAGACCAAGGTTACTCGCTTGGAATTTGAGGACGCCTGTAAAGACCTTCATTCGCGCTTTGCAAGACCCATCTATGATGCATTTGCGAATGCTGAGCTTTCATTGGTATGATCATGATGCCCGCGGGTTGTCTTGCAAATATTGTCTGACATACTTACAGGCAAATATCTCATCCGTTATCTTAACAGGCGGAAATTCACGCACGCCCATGGTCCAGACCGCTGTAAAAGCAGCTGTTGGCGAGTGAGCATTACATATCTTTTCGTCTTTGGACCATTGGAGTTTACATGTTTTATCGGAGATCGCATTGCACTCAATGTCAATGCTGATGAATCCGCCGTGCTTGGCGCAGCGCTTTATGGAGCTTCCCTCTCTCGTCAATTCAAGACCAAGGACATTCGTGTAACTGATGTCTTGATGCATGACATCCAGGCGTCGTATCTCGCGTCTAATCCGGGCACGCGAACGATTCACACGACAGTCTTACCTGCTGGGTCGAGGCATGGTGCAAGAAAGACTCTAACGTTCAAGCGTAAAGAAGATTTTTCTGTGATACTGAACTATCCCAATGAAGTCATGTCGTGCGTGTTCCGTACGTACAAATGTTCATATTTTATTAACTTGATTTCTAGTGGTTTCCCCCGCGAGATCCTCGAGGCAAAGATTGTTGGCATTCCCGAGGCCATTGATAATCTTACTGAACACGGAGCAGTAGATCCGGTGATCAAGGCTACTGTTGTGCTTTCCGAATCCGGCTTTGTGTCTGTCGGAGACGCCATAGCCTGCGGCGAGATTAAAGACGATTCCATCACTGGTGCGTATTTCCACTTTTTCCTGTTCTTAATTATAAAGCTCGAATAGGGAAACTGAAAGGCCTATTTGGAGGTGGGGGTGACCAGGTACCATTAGAGACTGGCGTTGATGAAGGAGCCCCAAAGGACGAGAAGATGGAGAAGGATAAGAAAGATAAAGCCAAGAAGCCGCTTGGGAAGGACCAAAATACTATTCCACTTGAGATCGAAATTGTGTACAATTCCCAAGGCCCACTGAGTCTTGTGGCGAAACGGACTGCACGTGAACGGTACGTCTGCATTGCCTGCGCTCATAAGACTGATCGAAGTCATGCTGTGACAGTCTCAGGGCACTAGACAACATGGAGATGTCAAGGCAACTTCGGGAAGAAGCGCATAATACTCTCGAAGGATACCTGTATAAGCTACGGGATCTCTTGGACGATGATCCAGAAACGCCATTCATGAAATGCTCTCAGTCGTCTGAAAGACAAATGCTTTCGAATGAACTCTCGGAGACCATTGCATGGCTACATGACGAAGGAGATACCGCCGATACAGTACAGCTATGGGAGAAGCGATCGGTTCTGGAGTAAGGGTCTTTTTGGGGGAAGGCTATTAGAGTGCTGACCATTTCTGGACAGGACTCTGGAGAAACCAATGGTACACCGCTACAAGGAGATCGAGTCTTTCCCACAGGCACTGAATAACTCACAAAAGTGGAATTGGAGTACTAGATTATTCCTTACCCAAGCAAGGGAGAACATCACGGCAGACGCCATCGCAGGTGTTCCTAGCTGAACAACGTTGAAGCTGCGCGGAAGCTCCTTGACAACTTGTATAATCAGATGCAGGTGGACAAGGTCGCAGACACGATCGCTAATCACGGGCCGCCTGTTCCCGACAAAAACGAGCGGCCGCGATTCCTGTTTGCTGTGAAGATTGTTATGGCGGAGGACTTGGTACCACTTGATAGTAGTCCGTCCTCGTTGCTAGACACCTTCGTGACGCTCAGTGACGAGGCTGGGAATCGCCTTGTGAAGACGAGGACGATTTATGAGAGCTTGAACCCGCGTTGTAAGTCTCCGTCAAAACTCTTGGACATGACTCGTTTATATGCCGAAAAGGGGAAGAGACTCACGACATATCGATCGACAAGCCTTTATGGTTAATGTGCAGCATACGTGATCGCGCGCTCGTGGGTCAACATGACGTTGTTGGCCGGTCCTTCATATGCCTCAATCCCAAGGAATTTGGTGATTTCTTGACCCATGATGTATGGCTGAACCTTGAGAACACCAACAATGGCCACCAAGGGAGGATACTTCTTCGAATCAGTATGGAAGGGGAGAAGGATGACGTGCAGTTCTACTTTGGCCGGGCTTTTCGATTCCTAAAGCGGAGTGAGGGAGACATGATGCGGATATTCATTGACAAAGTAAGCTGTCGAATACGATGCCTAGGCTCTTATTCTAGATCTCATTTATTGCTAGATGTCACCATATATACGACAATCACTGTCCCGACCTGTCCTCAAAACCTTGATCAAAGCCGGATCTCTGGGGCTGGATTACAACAAGGCACTCGGGAATGTCACAGCGCTCTATCGCTCAGCACTGGGCTCCAACGCCAGTGAGGTGCAGATACCTCTTCCTCACAACGAGAAATCTCGTGTTCGGCCCGAGGAACTCACTGACGTAGAGATTGAACGCGCGATCATTCCTCTGTTCGATTATTTCGACGCCAACCTTCATATTCTCAACACCTATCTTAGCGAGACTGCAAAAGATATGGTGATGATGAGGGTCTGGAAGGAGATCCTAGTCATAATAGAGGGTCTACTCATACCGCCGTTGTCCAAGCTCTCTAGCGACATGAAACCACTCAGCGACAAGGAGGTAGACATAGTTTTCAAGTGGTTGAAGGTGCGTATGATACTTTTGTGCGCGTACATTCCTGATAGCTTCAAACTAGTTTCTCCGCGACTATTTCTATGCGGAAGGCGAAGGCGTTTCGCTGGAAAAGCTACAGAACCAGAAATATCGGGATGTTGTCTCTATTCGTTTGTACTATGACTGGCATACGTACGCAATCTCGTTTCACGTACTGGTAACGACGCTTCACTTTAATTTGCAGGGATACTCTCATGGAAGAGTGCGTACGCACCATGCAGCAAAGCTTGCGCGAAGCTGTTCCTATCAAGAAGCGCGTGAAGAGTGTATACAACCAGCGGAATCTGGGGACCATTAAGGAGCGCAAGAAGGTGAAGAAAGAGGAGAAGGAAGTCTCGAACGGTGAAACTATTATGAGAATTCTTCGCATGAGGTATGCATCACACGGCTCTTGTGGGCATCAATTCTAACCGAGGCACACAGACCAAACACACAAGAGTTCATTGCCCAGCAGCTTGAAATGATGACAACTGTGCAAGCCGAGCGCGAACGTGCACAAGTTGACAGACAGCCGCGAAGATCTCAACGACCGCGGCAGGCGGAAATTTCTCAAGTTCCGCCACTGCCCTCCGCTGCCTCGTAGCCTTTGTACATTGTACACCGTATACCTTGCAAGCCCTTTGTACGCATATGTTGACGTATCTCGGGGTGGGATGATGTATTTACATACACGTGTGTCCAAGAACTAAATTATTACAGACTCTCTAGTGGAGTGGACAATAACTAACGTACGAGAGGCTGCGGAAACTAGGTCGACTGGATTGAGAAAGTACAAAACTCGACGCAATGTCTACACGTGTATCAAGATCAATCTGGTGTAGGCGTTCAATATTCAATCCTTTTGTTGAGCTGACGATAGTGTTTGGTCATTATTGAATACATGGCTGTTTCGAAGATACGAGCAACCTTGTTCTTTTCGAATCACAGTGCTGGTATTACGAATCCTATTTTAACTATCACTTGAATGAAATCACACTATCGCGGTACAATCGCGGCGCTTCGAAAGTAACTTACCTTATTCGGCCAATATTATACTTTCGTCGTACCGTTTACTTGTGAAAAGTCGCCCACACTGTGTCCACAGCGACGGCGACCCTTGCGAGGACAATGGTGCTTTATTCCCCAGATCGGGTGCTTCCCCGTGCCCGGATTTCATGAAAAGCAGACCGGTGGCCAGTGGAAGTCTATCAATTCAGAAATCCCCTTTCCTTCAGTCCACTTCAGCTGCCACCAGTGGCGGCATTGTCGTTCCCTTTTTTTTTACTTTCTCTGTTGCTGGTCATCCTCTGTCTTTGTAGCATTTAAATTTTCTCTCTGGTATAGCGTCACTTTGGTCTCTTCTGTTGCATTTACGTTGCCCGCGATGCTACCAGCCAAAGCTTGTGAGTCGCTGCCATCCGCCAGGAATGTACTTGCGAGCTGACAGGATGATGGTTGTTAGATGTCTTCATCGGTCTCAATGCTGTCCGCACTCTTAGCATTATCGCTCTTCTTTTAGTTTTCTCCAGCAGCATCCTGGTGATGGTCGATGACATCGAGGCAGTCAACGCATCTGTCGATGGCGGGAGCAACTCGAGCTCCACAATTAACTCTGACTACATACAGTAAGTTTTTTTAGTGCACGTTGTCGCGAATGTGCTCAAATATTCTGCCTAGAAATAGTACAGTTCCTAATCAGCCAGCTGGCGTGTTTTGGCAGTATTGAACCGGTTGTTGATAATTGGACAGACCGTCGTTTTGATTCTTTCAGAACTAGGTATGATATTCGCAATAATGTGTTAGTATGCGTCATCTCAACACCTCTCAAGGCTGGCCTGCGGGGTTCTTTGATTATTACTACTTCCCCGTTCTCGGGAGTGACTTTGGACTAGGTGCTCTTGGAAGTGATGCAATGTCTGTAAGTTGATATGTCCCTGCAATCGGTTTCTTGTCAACTCATCCGTACATCAACAGGATAGGAGCTTCTGTACTTTCTCACTTCGTTAAAGTCTTCCCCCTCGTCTCCGGTTTCTCCCTCTTTTCCATCGGCTGTCTCAACATGCTAATCGGCCTTATCTTCCGAGAACGTGCCAAGTCTACGCGTTCCATATTATCATTCCGGGACAGAGCAGATGACATGCTGTCATCACTCGATAAAACCAAAGAAACACCATTCAGCAAATATAGGATGGATCGAGACGCAGAGATGGGTGCGTGATAAGATTTGAGTTTGCACAGGCGTTGCTGACTTTTACTTGCTGTAGGCGTGGGCGTCAAAGAACCGGATACTGCGCACGCTCGCACTTAGGTGTATGATGGATACTATCGTTCCCAAATTCCTCGTCCCTCCTTCCACCCGGTGTCCACCGCACATGTTCGAGCCACGTCAGCATTTGCTGACGTGCGCCGGGTGTGTGCGCTAAGCACTGGTGGCTGTTGGGTGCGGATTCAGCGTCCTCCTGTTACTTCCTACGTGCATCTGTACCCTCCCAGTTTCCACACATGTCTGAGGAAGCTATCCTTGCTCAGTCTTCCTGCACCATCGTACCCAGCGCCCTCGCAAATCTTGAAGACAGCATCGAGTATCGCCACATGATGATTCTAACACAGCTGCTTCTAATTATCCACCAGGTTTTAGGAGAGCACGAGCCGGAACACTGCCTTCTGATGTCCATCCGCTACTCCTTTGATGGAATCGTTTGCTGAACAGTTGCAGCAGAGGCAGACCGCTAACATGCCTCCTAGCATTCTCATACCCTCGTGTCCTACCATCCGGCATACCACAACTGTAGCGGCTCCACGGGCAGCTCCTACATCAGTCGGCTCCAAGCGCAACAGTCGCTTGAGGTCAGGTTCATTAATGCTGCCTTCTGCTGGTCTTTCCAGCCCATCTAACGAGTGTGCGTCTGCCAACAGCGCATTGGATTAAGTACCATCCTTAGGCTGTTGTAATGTACGTATGTAGGGACAATAATGTAGCATACAAAACGAAATATAATAAAAACCAACTGGTGCAGGTGGCTGTGCAGCGGAGTGCTGTGACAATGTGACCATATGGTGTGGTTTCAGGTGGGTTCATCGCTGCGTGATTCAGGGGCGGGACATGGCTACAAGCAAGGTAGTAAGGAGAGTGAATTAATAGTACTAGTAGGCTTCAATATTATATAATTAGTTTTATGAGTGATGAATAAAAATAACACTTACAAATAGCATGCGGTACTCACAGGGTCCCCTTCGAGGCCAATAAGTGGACGAATTTGCAAATTGAGGTCCGCGAAGAATCCGATTGAGAAGGTGAATATGGGGTGGCCAAGAAGTATAACCGTGTGTCGAGATACACCTGCAAATAGACCTGCAGATATTGATTCATCGGACCATGGGTCTGAAAACTTTAGCTTAGATTTCTGAATCCTAGATATGACTTACCAAAGTATATACCCCAAAAGAAAGTGAAAAAATAGGACAGAAATTGGACAGGACCAACTGGTCTTCCTTGCCGGTCCGCAACCTCTGTCCGTGTCATGCGAATGAGGGATAGTGTCAGAGCAAGGCACCAGGTAGAGACCATAACACCAATGGCTCGTGCCCTACTGAGCCCTGAGCCAAGGGAATTCATCACCGCTATCATCACAAGGATTCCCGCGCAATAGACGAAGATGGTTGCTCGAACCAGGGGATTGGCAATATGCTTGATAGGCATCGTGATTAGGGGCCAAGCCTTTGCTGTGTGTGTGTGAATGTGTCGTATATAGTATGTTAGGGCTGCGTGATGACCAATGGGCCTGTGAATATGCCGTTAGAGCGCGGCGGGAGATTACAATAACTTACAAAGATTTGGTAACTTGATGGTAAGGCACCAAGAACTTCGAGTCAACTCACCGCCGATGCTAACCTTGTGGCTGAGTCAGACTTCCCAAATAAGTGAGTGCGTCAGCCAGACTCCAGTATCTGAATATTCACTTGCTCGCTGTAGCATGCGTGGATGGGCTATACAATATGGCACGCGCGAATCCAACGAGCCTCGAAGACGAAGACATCGAGCTTCTTGTGCAATTATGGCTGACTGAAGGCGAAATAACCTGTCAATATTACTTCATCGACCACGCAGCTCGAACTCTCTTTTGGCTGCACGATACTAGCCACGAAACGACAGTGAACATTTTTAGCGGGCTCCGGGGCGTCGATGATCCGAGCCACACTCGTGCGTTATGCTTAACAATCACACTGATATGAACTTGGCGAGCAGGGTTTGCCTTGGAGTCCGAGTAAGTACTGGTGTGTCATTTGCAATCGTGTAAGTTTCACTGACTTCTCCCATCATTTTAATTCCAATGTGCTTCGAGATCCTGTATGACAGTCGACGCCTGAGACGAGCAGGACGCACTGCGAACGCTACCCGAACCACCAGTCACCCGAATGTCCTGCGTGAAGTCGCCATGAGCGGAGTACCGGCATGTGCCATCGTTGTGAGTGCTTTTTAGATCTTGTGGGATCCGGCTCTGACGAGACCTCTCTCGCAGTCTTGAGAAACGCCCTTAGATGCAGTTAATTTGTGTTGGACCTCTGTCTACGTTCTTTCTGCTCCCTGGCTCTTCTATGGCATAGCATTCTTTTTGATTGGCATTCCCTCGTTATCACCGAAACTTCGAGAAACTCATACTATCTTATCGGACATTGCCACTTGGTCATATGCTGTCGCTTCTGCTGCTGCTTTCATATTTTTCGGCTTGAACTTTGGAGAGGAAGCGGTGCGTTATTTTTTGGGGTTCCTTTGTATGCAGCTGATGTTTGTTCTTTAGGCTGCCACCACTGAAGTCTGGATTCTGCGCGCTTGCAGTGTACAAGGTTCTCAACAGATCTGGGTCGCTGCCCTGTGGTACTGGGGTATCGCACTGAGTACCGCGACGCCTGGGTCTGTTACGCCTTGGTGGATTGTCTTTATCTTGTGGCCGCTCTCAATAATGTGGTTTGCGTTTGCATACTTGATACTGCACGGACTGCCAGGTAAGTCCCATCTGAGTTCCCAGGCAGGACAATAATACCAACTACAAAACAGAGTACTACCGACAAACTCCTCCGAAAATCCCAAACTTCCTCAAAACTCTCTTCCGAAGGAAGCTAGTTCTTTGGTTAGGCTTTTCTTACTCGCGGCTAAGTTGATGACGCTGATACTCCACACAAGGTTCCTCGCGTCTGAAATCTTACGTAATTATTGGCTCAGCGGTGTATGTTAGGCCCGCTGCTTCGATATCCTTATGTTCTGACCTTATTGCAGCCCTACGGTCGCAACTGGAGTTTCCTGTGGAATGTTCCTACCCCCAAGTGGGCGATATTGCTTCTCACAATCTTCTTTTTCGTCGGTGTCTGGGCTCTCATGCTCTATATCCTCATGTCTTTGAGCAAGACCCATACTTGGTTGTTGCCCGTGTTCGCTGTCGGCCTTGGTGCTCCGAGATGGTGTCAGGTATGATTTTGTCAATGTTGCATCAATCTTCAGTCATCTAACATGTGTCGCAGACATTATGGGGCACCTCGTCTCTCGCGCTCTATATCCCGTGGGCTGGCTCAGGAGGACCATACCTCGGTCTTTCTCTGTGGCTTTGGCTCGGTGTTTTGGATGCTGTACAGGGTGTCGGCTTGGGAATGATTCTCCTGCAGACGTTGTCAAGATTACACGTCTGTTCCACGCTCGCTCTCGCTCAGGTCATTGGGTCTATCTGTGTTATGGCCGCCCGTGCAACTGCACCAAACCGCATCGGTCCAGGGAGTGTATTCCCTAATGTCGGAACATGGGACTTCTCGCATGGTCTCAAGGGCAGCCCGATGGCCTCCGCTCCATTCTGGTGGCACTGATCTGCCAGATTGTCATTGTACTAGGTTACTTCTGGTTCTACCGCAAAGAGCAACTAGGTAAGTCATCGCGCAACTTGACCTTAGAGATGCTCTAATAATCATCGCTTCAGCTCGACCATAATTATGCTATGGCTATTCACCTTCACCGTCATTCACGCACATATTAGAACCATTACTCCATTCAAGGTCTTACTTGGATACTTTCACTCACTCATATTTTTCTCGCTGTTGGATTATAGGTGCCAGGTGATGTAGCCTGCTGGAATGGACTGGTACCACGAGTCCAGCTGAGCGAACGCGCTGTTCGCTTCCTACGTTCGTTTTCTCCCTCTACCACGTGCCACGTCGAGTTCGTCGTACCTCGCAACTCCTCACTCACACCTACAGCTTTCTTTCGCCCCAGGCCACTCCCTTTTTTCGTCTGGAAACATTGAGGATGGTACAATTCACTCTGATCATCTTAACGCCATCCGCGTGATTAATTCCAGTCTTCTCGCGCCCCTCCTACCTCACGCATGGTCTGCCCTTCCTGCACGGTCGTTGTATCGGTGGCTACACTCTATCATATCGTCGTCTCCCGAACCTCCAGCTCTCATTCATGTCAAAGCACACACCGACTCATCGTCTTTGCCAGCACGAGCAAACGCATTAGTAGATGCTATTGCTCATGACTCTCACTCTCAGGTCATTCGACCCTATCCCGTGCCGTATGCTACATTTGAATTGGACAGTTTTGTTCTATACTCCCCTTCTTTGAAGTTTATTGAATGTTCTTTCCCATCATTGCTTACTCACATACTCTCCAATCGCACTGCAGCTGATCCGACCTTTGTACCTGGTCGTACCCTCGCACTGCCTCTTTATGACTTGCATGCGCCACCGGACCATCCTTACGTGCGGACGCCATACGCATACTCAGCGCTGCTTTGTGAAGCAAAAACCATTATTCGAACAACGGATGTTTATCTACACTCCGCACGGCGCTTGTTCGTTGACGATGCTTCGGTGTGGCCTTTGCGCGAGACTCACTATTACTTAGGAACTGTACCTGCGATTGAACCACCAGATCAAATAACCACTGTGTTGGCGGCAAAAATAGCGCACGTATGGCATGTGGCCAGCATTCGTTTGGCAGGGCAAATATGGGGGATGTACAAGCGTACTACAAATCCAACGGTCGGCAAGGCTGAACGTGTGTTTGATTTGCCTAGACATTTGCGGTATTTGCAGTCACATTCATAGTGACTATTTATTTCGAAGAGCTGACGAGGCACTTCTATATGTAGTACCTGAGTTAGCATCAGTAGCGTAGTCAGCCAATAAAAGATCGTTTATCGTTTACTAGTACTAGATGCCATTAAGTAAGCGCTCGACCTTCTTCAGATTCGGAATCACTATTCTCCTACACTTCTAGGTCTGGGACTCTGGGAGGCTAGCGCTACGCTCAAGTTGAACAGTAAACGACAGCGACGAAATATGTCGAACACGGGGCTAATCCAAAAGCTTTTAAGACGTCTATGGCAAGTCTTGGCGGCGCTCGCACATTCATATACTCAACGACTCCGTATCCTTGTGTCTTTCTTGCGGCGTTGTGTCACCAAGGCTCACGCTTTACCTGGACACAGTACTGACGCAAAGTCTTCCACTGCAGATTCATGCTGCTCCGGGGCTTTCAGTGCACGATATTCACAGGCTACCTTGCCATTGCCGCTTCGCCGCCAAATAACTCCAACTAGTACATCAAGTGGTATTCAAGACGCGGCGTCGTCTTCAACACCTCCATACTCCATGCCTGTTCCCGAGCGAGTTATCCCGTTTTACACTTATTCACCCCCAGAAGTTAATGTTGCGATTGCTTCCGACGCTCCCGGCACCACTCCCCCTTTTGTACCATTTGCTGCGAATGATGTTTTGCGATATGATAATCGTCCTCTTGTGTACGTGCAGCACCTTTACGATAGTGGACAGTCTTGAGCAATCACTCTCCAGAGATAAGACTCTTGAGTGCGATCACATTCCAGCACTCATGAGGGACTTCTCGAATAAGTGAGTGCATTAGCCAGACAGTATCTGAATGGGATGACAAACCATGCAGGTCATGTCCATTGTTGGATGGTGATTGGAAGTCATACATACATCCTGAAGGCGCATTGTATTTATACAATACGACTCGAGTAAGTCCAATCATGAAGGAAATACAGGTGTTTCATGGGCCACTGACTGTATTGTCTTAGAAAACATTCACTGAAGCCATCATGGATGAAACTACGTTTCACTTGCTCGCTGTATGCGTGGATGGGCTATACGATATGGCACGCGCGAAATTAACGAGTCGCGAAGCCGAAGACATTGAGCTCGTTGTGCAATTATGGCCGATTGAAGACGAAATAACCTGTCAATATTACTTCGTCGACCACGCAGCTCGAACTCTCTTTTGGCTGCACGATACTAGCCACGAAACGACAGTGAACATTTTTAGCGGGCTCCGGGGCGTCGATGATCCGAGCCACATTCGTGCGTTATGCTGAACTTTGATCACACTGATATGAACTTGGCGAGCAGGGTTTGCCTTGGAGTCCGGATACTGGTGTGTCATTTGCAATCGTGTAAGTTTCAGTGACCTCTCCCATCATTTTAATTCCGATATGCTTCGAGATCCTGTATGACAGTCAATGCCTGAGACGAGCAGGACGCACTGCGAACGCTACCCGAACCACCAGATGGATAGAGTCAAGCTTCTCAAAGAACTGAGAGAGGTCGTCATGCATGCGAGTGCAGGTAGTGATCGCCTGTCATTAGCCTTCAGTTGTTTTTGAACATGACATTTCAGAGATCATCACTTCAGACATGTCCTTATCGCCTTTTGATGCAGATGAACTCTCCAGAATTCTGGACCTGATCAACCACCTCCAAGGTACGAAAACTTCTTTAGAACTGTTCATAATTGAAGTCCCGCAATTCCAGAGAACGCTGAGGAAAAGGATTTTCCTCATTCCACTTGCATCATTGGTAAGAAAAGCGTATGCACATGGTGTAATCTCCTTTGACTTTCATTATTTTATCTATAGCTAGATTCATGCAGTATTTCTGTACGTTCTCCACTTCACCGCTGGGTTCAGGTTACTCATTCATTCTGAAGATAGAGCCAAGTTTTTCAACTTCTGCGGCCTACCTTGTGCTCGACTCGATGCTGACAGATCCGTGTATGAAGAGGATACAGGCTTTCATCCACTGATCACTCCTTTTTCTCTGGTTTTCGAAGCCATGCTTTTTTGGGCACTGCAAGCGCACTTGAAGGATATTCGAAGGGTATGGGTGGATGAGTGCATCAACACGCCGCGATGGAAAGACTTCAACACAAAACTCATGGCAGAGTGGACTGGGATCACCATATACGTGCGTATCTTCAAGTCAATTCGACTTCATAACTTAATTCTCCCAGTCAACCGTCATGTTAGCCGTAGACGTCAGTTTCCTTGCGGTGCCGAACATGAACATTAGCCAGTCACAGTCGATTGGAATCATTGTTACCTATCTCTCTATTATCTTCATCACTGGCTCCTTGATTGCCTCAGTCCTTCTGGCGCGTCAGAACCAGAGATACGGTTTTGAATCAGCCGAAAAAGCAGCAAGCCGTCGCCCCTACTTCCATTTCTGCTACACTAACTAGTTCGCTTAGGCTGAGTTTCTGTCGAATTTGACAGGCACATTTTTTGGAGTGAGAGCCCTCGCTACTGTTCACAGTCTCCCGTATGCGATGCTTATGTGGGGGTATGTGGATCAATATTATCTAACCAGAGAACTTGATTAACGTGCCCTTCACCAGGATGATCTACTTTGCAATCGGCCTTCTGTACAACGTCTTCAAATTTACAACGACGGCCATGCTGGCATCAATCGTCAGCGGGTGCGTGGTCGTTACCGTGTTCATATCGTGGTTCATCTGGGCAGCGAGAGAGGTCCATATTTTCAAACGACTGGCCAAGTCCGTTCTTTCCGTCACTAGCGGGAGATAGTATCCAACCTTAGCGCTTCGGGTATTTTTATCATGTTGACCATGCAGGCTGTGTGGTGGTACTATTATCAACCAAGTCTTCAGTAAAAGCACATAATGAGTGAACTAAGTGCACAGTACACAAGTTGGTTGATCAACCACTTCACGATGCTACCATCATGATTGGTCCAAATTTGAGCTGGAGTCATGTGTCTTCTAACTTGAAGAACTTATGCCGCTGCCCGCATGAGAAGCATCTACCCTGTCAGACAACTCAGTACTCTGTATCACACAGATTGTGGGAACTCTAGTAAGCCAGTGTACAGCGAAGCCTTGGTAAAATGGTTCTCTAATTGACATGTTTCACCGTGACCAAAAATTCAGAATCCACTGCGATTAGATACACAAAGAAAAATCAACGTCAATTCAACATCCGAGTCAGGTATCTCTTATCGAATGCTACATTTCTGTATGACATATTGTTAATTCGAGTGTATGCAACGCCCATTCACTGGACGCGTCTAGACTCATGCCTTTCGCCTAGTATTCACCCGTTCTGGATGTTTCAATGATTGGGCACCTGTTCAATTTGAAGCCGCTTCTGCAACGTTCACGAACATTCGAAAGGAAAACACTGGATGTACGGATATCTGGTTATGGAATCTGTGAGGATACAGCTTATATGCCTATCGCACTGCCCTTCTTCCACATGTTCTTGCTGCGGCTTCTATCCTCGATCATTGTCGTCCTGTGGATGAGCCCGCACTGAGATAAGTAATTATGATCCATTCAAGCCTTTGAAGATCGTTCGTTGTTTATATCTCAGCGCCAGTCAAAGGTATATAATGAAGTCTATGCTGCCCATGATCCCTTTACCCGTCTTCTGGTAACATCGAGTACGAGTCACGGAAGTTCATCAACCTCATTCAGGGCGTAAAGTTCAAGAGCTCAACTGCATCACTTCAACCCCGTACACGTTCATGCGGCTCCTGCCATGGTACCCCTATTGCTTCGTTTGTCATCAGTACGATGTCGACATGAGCTGATTCTCACCTAGAATTTTAAATATTTCTTCTTCCGTCTCAGACGCAACAATGTTGCCTTGAAAGACATTGAAAATGAGGCAAACTTAACTGCAGCTGCAGGACACACCTTCAGAAATCTTGACACGTCTGTTCCAGGGGTCTCGAACCACGCCTCCATACAAACCTCGTTGATTGAGAGAATACCCGAGAACATTTGCCTTCATTCTCATGGCCCGATTGAACTGTAGCGGCACATGTCTGCATCATGTATCACACAGAAGTTATTCAAATTGCTTACAATGTCGTCGCCCTGCAATGAAATGAACTCGTCATAACATCGAGCGCAAACAGACGAGTTACTTACCGTGTAGTAAAGGAGGGCTGCTCCTCTGTTCTCCCAAGGAACACATAAGATATCGATGCGTCGGCGCTTTGCATCCGGTTCGGGACGCTTACACAATCCACGATAACATAATTCGAGAGCGGAAAAATCATCAGGCAATGCCAAATCCTCTGTCAGGATCTTTGCAGCATGCAGACGGGCGAGCAGCTCCGGAAGAAGACCTAAGTCAAGGTTCCTCGTAAAATGACATCAAGCCATGAGAAGGCAAAAGCGTTCACCTGCATGGGTTATCCCATCTGAGGTTGGTCGAGTCACTATGATATCAATGTCGCCACAAGTAGCTTTGCCCCTATCGAAGAACGTGAGGGTAAGGCAAGCACAAGTAAATTATCACAAACCTTCTAAAACTACCCATGATATCAATGTAAAGGTGCTCGTCGAGCTCGAGAGCTGTTTGTATCACATCAATGGTCGTGAAAACCCGTAATGTAAATCTTTACCAATGGGTCTAATCAAGTTGAAGATACTCTCTGCTTCACTGCGTGGCATTCTATCATTGATATCTGGCAATAAAAAATCAGTCATGTACTGATAGGAGTGAACACGAAGGGCCGACCATCATGGAATTGTAAACCAACTTCCTGCACGTGAGATAATTTAATGCCACCTTTCCGAGCTCGAACATCATCTAGCGTCCGACATCCGTTAGTATACCACATGTAAGCTATTTGTCGGCCTGTGCCAACGGATCAGAAGATGACAGACGAAGAGCGAACACTTTCCATACCGACTCCATATATCCCCTGAAATAAGTTAATGGCTTCGACGTCATCCGTTTTTTCGTAGCCAATGCGTCTCAAATCACCGGTTTCGATGATTTCCATGATCTGGTAAAACACGTGTTATGTGAATGTAACGTCAATGTGCGTCAGTGGATACACACCTTTCGGGCAGTCTTCTCACCGACGCCCGTGATTGACCGGGCCTCATTGAATGATTTGATTTTCTTTGGATAATTGCGCAAGGCACGAATACCTACCAGGATCATCAGCGCTGATAATTCCGCTGCAAACATTGCGTACATTTCGAGTAGCTGTACACTCGCCAACGATCATCTTCACCTAGTTTTGCCTTGTGCAACTCCATAAGTTCCTCCAGCTGTTCGTGTGTTCCATCAGTTGCAGATAACGCCAGATGTAGATGCAAACCTTTTCAATGATATCTTGATTCATGCATTTGCGCTGCTCAGGTTCCTTTCGGTCGCACGTAAAACCCTTCAGGAGCGCAACATTCAAAATTAGTTCAGGGACTTCGAAAATAGCCACTCGCCCGCCGTGGAACATGTGCTGGTTTCGAAAACTCTTCTTCTTGATCGCTCTCGTCGGTTTCGCTTTGTCCAAGACCTCTCTGGAGATAGTTGAGTTGAGAAAATTTTGTTTGACGTTACGACTTACAGCTTGTTCTCGTTCAGCCCTCGCTTTCTCGTAAAATTCAGCAAGAGGGTCTTCTGTATTAGACTGTGGCTTGTGATTGCTTTGGTTATTATTATTATGGGCTGTGCTGGAAGCTTTCCCCGTGGGAACAAATGTGAGGGGTGCAGGAGGAAGAACCACTAGCTTTGGCGCTAGGGGCTGTTGATTTTTAGTTAGATGATCTTCAGTCAAGGAGCTAAGAAATGGGACAGTATAAAAACATGGTCGGAGTGGAACTGACAGCAGACGTACGAAATGTGGAAATCTCCACCAAGATCGTCCGTAGAGGCGGTTACTTGTGCCTTTGTTTGAACCAAATTTCCCTGTCCTCTCTTCTGCCAGCTTCTGCCGGCATGGATGCGTTGAGGGAATGCCGCGTGTAGAAATTCGAAATCGAGAAGGCTTTCATCATCATCTATGGCGTTAGCCTTGCCTTTCGTATCATTTGCTTCCTCATCGTGTTTGCCCCTGAGCTTGTTGTAGCCCAAACGACCGTACCCGGATATCACCCAACTCCAAGTGACCGTTGGGATATTGTCAGGGATCTCTTTCAACGATTTTAGTCCGAGGGCTTTCAGGGTCGGGCGAGTTGTCGCATCCGTCACGATGTGAGTTACGGTAGTAGGGTCGTACGATGGTACCAAGGTGCCACCATGCTTGATGATCTGAAAACCTTTTGTTAGAAACGTATCACTCAACGGCATTGACTAAACGATGGTCAGCGCGTAGATTGATACGTAATGTATGTCAGCGTTGAAGGCGGAGCTTCTTCGCCACAACATGATAACGCGTGAATAGCGGACCGGGAAATACGGAAGTAGTCTCCAGTAATGGGGGTCAGGGTGAGCAAAACCTGGGAAAACTCACGTAGTCCATGCGACCACGCGTCAGGACGCCTGCATACTGCATGTCCCCACCGACATACAGTATTTGTTTTCCCTTGAGGTAATCAGACTTGCGCTTCTTTGGCAAGTCAAAATTCAACTTCTGCGCATATTCTAAAGGAGTAACGAGCGCTGATTTTCCTTTATTTTTCTGGTCTTTATTTTGCTTTGAAATATTAGCTTTGCTCCTCGAGCTGCTCACAGTCTTCCGGACCTTTGGATGTTTAACGACGGTCGCTCTGGACAAGGGTGGAATGCCCCCTGGATCTGATGATAATGAAGCTGGGGTACTCGAGTGGCGTGATGCTCCAAGAGGGGAATTTCTGGGGCTCGTGATATTGCTGGTATTCGTGGATGAGGGTTCTAGCAACTCTGAGTGTGGACTGGGCATGCCAAGTTCTGGCGCAAAGGACTGCAACTTCTCCTTCTCAACTGATGCCTCGTGATTATGATCTAAAATGCGAGCTTCCGGACTGTTGCCATTTGTGGGCTCTTCGTTGATGGCATCATGTGCCACTAGGTTAGCAACTCTTGATTTGCGGGTTTGTGCAGTGGTATCATGGGGCATCAATCTCGCTGGCGATAAATGTTTGGCGTCACTATTGCCTTCGTGGTGCATCGTGGGCTTCGTGATATGAGATCCAGATCCAACTACGGGTAACTTGGCTGCCCCATGTTCATAAACGCTTGACTCAACGTTGCAGCTCGGGATTCGCGAAGAGTTCGCAATAGACGAAGTATCGACCGGTCCGCAGTTAGTATACCGGATAAGAGAAGACGATGTAGTTTCGACTGGGGCATCCCCATTTCGGCGGGCCGTGAGTTGCGGAATTTGGTTGACGCCTTTGCTTCGTGACTTGACTGAAGAAGCTATAGCACTGTGTCCAAATGTGTTAGTTGAGGGATGATCTGATTAATCCGAAATTGAGATAAGGGTCGACACAACGTACTTTGCAGCATGTTCAGCATTGTCACTGCGTGAGAAAACAGTAGGTAGCATGGGTACTCCTGACGTGGTCACGTTGGGAATCTCGTATAGCTTTGGCTTCTTCCCCTGGGCTCGAAGTTCGGGTTTTGCGAGTTTGCGCTTCAATCTGTAGAACAGATGATCTCAGATTTGCAAGAGCTACGTGATAAGGTAAGCGAGACGTACTGCATGGGCACTTCTTTGTCAGAGATATGCTGTTCATCCCCTTTCTTGTCAGAATTGAGAAATGGTTCAGGGCGTGTATCAACTTTGCGTGGGTGACCTTGCGCGAGAATAACGTGATCGATAACATGACTTCTGTAATTATCCTACTCAGGGGGACTGGCAGAAGGGAGCCAATTGAATGGCGCGCGTACCTGTTCCTATGATAATCTTCCAGTCGTGCACGAACATATTCATCCACGTCCTCGTCAGGAAGGTTCATGTGCTGTTCTTGCTTAGCGAAAAATGCATTGATATCGTGCATAGTGAATTCCAAGCGGGATGGTATGGTGGGATGGCTGGCATGAAGCACACTAGTACTCCCTGTGTGGACGTTTTTATGGAAGGCACAGAACACACATGGACATGCACGTGATCGGTGTCTCGCGTCGCGGGGATGCTTCTGCGGAGGTAAATAAAAAATCATCAGCTTTCTCCCGAAACAAAACAACAGTATCCACCGTTAGATGGGCCTGACCAGTTCCAGTTGGCAGATTAACGGGAGCCTTCAAGAAATGTTACGCGCCAAGAAAGCGACAGATAACGTGAACCAAGCACTTTGCTGGCAGGTGTGCTGTCAGTATGGCTGCAATGCGGCAACTCGGGGAGTGGCAAATCCCACGAACTGAATCATTCCGGTGGGGGATGCTCACGGTCAGCAGCTTTCAGCTTGTCAGACAAATATTATCGTGACTCACCAAAAATGCTCTGTTATAATGACCGTAGGACAAAAGCCATGTCATCAATGATATATAACCCCGGGCCAGCATGAATACTGAGGAAGCTGAATCTGGGTGAACTTGCTTCTCATGTGGCGCTAATGTAGCCCTGGGCATCGACTCGGACAACGGCAGGCTTGCCAAAAACTAGGGCAAGAAGTAGGCGCCGTCCACTAATGAGGCGGCTTTTTTTACACAGTGAGAAGCGCATCATTGACTTGCCCAATGACAAGTTATTCAGTAATGAAAGCCTAGTCCGACACGGGCCTAAGGCGCTTTTGTTGTGACCGTATCAATTGCAATTGAAGATCTACTCCGAAGATGGTATTTCTGCCTGTAAGTTGATATTGTCCCTTGCCATTTTGCAGGTCACCTGAGGCGGTTCAGCTTATCACGTAACTGTTGTTGTCGTCTTTTCCTCTCTCGAAATTGGCATCTTTCCTCAGCTGATACTTATGCATCACCTATGCCGCTCTTCGGTCTTTGCTTTCCTCTCTCGAGCGAGCGTGCCTGCGTGGCCTTTCTACTCCCCATCAACTGGCCAACCTTCTTTTCCCTTCCTGGCAGCCGCTGACTTCAACCTGACTTCAACCCACCGACCAGCTCGCAAATACAGCTTTTGACACTCCCCATTTACCAACACTGACACGTTATTGTGGATCCATTCCCATCTCAACCTGGACTCAAAAAGACCGCTTGTTTTTGACCTCGTGTTTAGCCTTCTACCCTGTTTCGCTGAGTTACTATCGGTATAAAACTCAGGAATTGCGGCGGGGTCCAATTTCGGCGTCTTGCCAACAACTATCACATCATATCAAGTTGTCGCGCAGTCGTCTCCTCATCGCTGCGACATCCCGTTCATGACCTTCGAGTATACTGAGAATATGCCGCACGGTCAGTTCAACGCTTATATCCCCAGGCGGCATTCCCTCACCCGTCATTCCTTCAATTCACAGATGAAGACGATGCCTCTGACGCGTCCTCTGACGTGACAGAACTCGAAGAATACGACTTTCCGGACCACTTTTTCGAAAGGGACGGAAGGCTCTTCCATTCTCATGGTAGCTTGCCGTATCCATTGCCTGTCGACGGGCCGGAGCAAGCAGTAGGTGCCACGCAACCCATGAAATTAAAATCACCAATTTTTCATTAGAGGTTGAATAATCTTCATAGAATCTTGCGCGATACCGTCGAATTCCACTACCTTGGCCCAGTGACCGAGGTACTCAGCGATGCTCGCCCCAGGCAAAAACGTGTGCTCGATTTGTGCACTGGCACAGGCCGTTGGTGCGCGATCTATTGATCAACTTCCGATGTGTGCTTCTCTTACGCTAACCTTCCTGCAGGCCGATGGATATGGCCAGATTATTTCCCCGTGTCAAGATCTACGGGCTTGATATCGGTGAGCTTACTTATACCCGTGTAAGATGAATAGTTTCAAATTACCCCTCCGCCCAGTTCCGATTGCCACTAGGCGTCCCTTGCGACATGTGCAATTCGAGATCCATGATATCACGGAACGTTTCAGATGGGGCAATGGAGCTATGGATTTTATTCATGCTCGTAATATCGATCTAGCTGTACGTTGTTCATTGATCACCACGTTGCTTTTATTCATTGATCATGAATAGGTTACGGATTACCCAGAACTGCTCCGGGAAGTTGCTCGGTTGCTCCGTCCCGGCGGTCTATTCTTTTCCGGCGAGATTGGGCGCTCCATCGACTTTGCCCATGGGTCTTCCTTCAACCTTGCTCGCCAAGCACCTCATGCGCGAAGCTTCTTTCAGGTGGTTAACCGCTCCCTGGAGCTTCGCCACTTGGTTCCCATTGCCGACAGGATCCCTGGTTTTATTCAGCAATCTCATCAGTTCACTGTGCCTACCATCCAGACGTTCCATATCCCCGTTGGTGATTGGCACCACAATCTGGTCATGAAGCGTGTTGGCAGGATGTACTTGGCCGCCCTAAAGGATTTCGCGGAGAGCCTCAAGCCCATGCTCCGTGAGGCAGGGATGACCCAGCAGGAGATTAACTCCCTTGTCACTGGGTTTATTGAAGACATAGAGCGCGTTCCCGGGTTGGTTGGAGTTTACCACACCGCATGGGCGAAGAAGTTGTAAAGGATCTTTGATGTTTGTTTTCTAAATGCTGTCTTATGCTTTCAGTTTCTGGTGACTGCTATCTTGGCTTTCTTGTTTGTTGTGTACTTTTACTATCAGGCGTGCTCATGTTTTCCTACCTACCTGTTTTCAGTTGCTTTCGTAGGTTGTAATGCAATGTTGATGTGTTTGTGATTCCCAACTACTGTGCACTGAGGTTACCTCCGACCTAAAGCTAACCTGTGGTCACGGTGCGGACATAGCAAAATTTCGGACGAACACGGAATCTACCGTTTGTTCGAGCCAACTCCGCTCTGTAACTTGAGTCCGTTCTGTCCAAGCTCATTCATCTCTACAAATGCTTGCAAGAAGAGCGTCGACCTTCGCGCGCAGCTTCGCCACTGTCGTCGACAATGCCGGGGTCAAGGTAGCAGCCATCGACAACGGTCAACCCACCACCGCTGTCACCTTCCTCGTCAAGGCTGGCAGCCGATACGAGCCTAAACCTGGTGTCGCGCATACGCTGAAAAACTTTGCTTTCAAGGTGCGTATCATGTTCTATTCTGAATACGCGCTCTGAAGCAGTCATTGCAGAGCACTGCCAAAAGGTCGGCATTGGGCACGGTCAGAGAGAGCGAATTGTACGGTGGCGTCCTTTCTGCAAGTCTGTCTCGTGAATATTTGGCACTCACTTCCGAGTTCTTGCGTGGTGATGAGTCCGTTTCCTTACATGCAGCATTTTATGTGTTGATTTTAATGACTGTGACTGATGTTTACAGGTCATTCTTCGTCGACCTCATGTCTTCCTTCCTCACGTCTAGCAAGTTCCAGCGACATGAGTTCCAAGAGTACGTTCTCCCTGTAGTTGAAGCCGAGAGCACCGCTGCCTCGCAAAACCCCGCAACGCACGCACTCGAACTCGCACATTCGCTCGCTTTCCGTTCTGGCCTCGGTTCCTCCCTTTTCGCGTCCCCGCACAGTCATGTCTCCCTTGACGATGTCAAGGAATTTGCAGCTCGTGCATTTAGCAAAGGCAACATCGCTGTCTTGGGTACTGGCATCGACTCAGCTGCGCTCACACAGTTAGTCGAGAAAGCGCTTGCAGGCGCATCTGTCGGCAATGTGGCTGTGGAGAGTAAACCATCGACGTACTTTGGTGGCGAGACGCGCCTGGAGTCGCATGGGGGTCCTGAGACAGTGTTCATTGGCTTTGGTGCTGCCGGTCCCGCGGACCCCGCGCTTGCTATCCTTTCGGCGCACCTCTCGCCTCAGCCATCTGTCAAGTGGTCGCAGGGCCTTTCGCCTATTTCTGCTGCCATCCCGCAGGGCACGTCGGTGCAGCCTGTTCTTATACCATATTCGGATGCAACGCTTTTCGGTCTGCTTGTCCAGGGCTCGAGCCCCGAAGGGGTGAAGGAGGCTGCCAAAGTTGCTACTAATGCATTGAAGGAATCGACCGGGCTCAATGGTGATGCGCTTAAAACGGCAGTGGCTAAAGCCAAATTTGCTGCTGCTAGCTCTCTAGATGGTCGTGATGGAATTCTCGGCGCTCTCAGTACCAAGGTGCGTCTATACATTTGGTCGTGGTTTTAGAACGTCTCTGAGGAAGCTTCATGATCACAGGTCTTTGCAAACTCGGATGCTTCGATCGAAGCTACGCTAGCATCAATAGATAAGGTTGATGCTGCTGCATTCTCGAAGGTGTGTACTTTTCTTTGTCATTTTGTGTGGAGGATATATTGAAACACCTATCTAGTCT